TTTTCTTCCTAATTCATGGATTATCACTTATCCTACCAAACATTGTCCTCGTTACTGATTGATACTCAACTACTAATCGCCACCGATATCGTAAAACATGCAGGTAAGCTTTTTCAACAAACTCTATCAAAAATCTTTGGTCTATTTTTATGACTGATTTGCCAAATCGTCTCATTTATCAGAGCCAAACTAAGCGCAATAATCAACATTCTCCCTATAAAAAATTTACCATACAGCAATAGGCTCTCATCACAAAACTCAATGGGAAGATAGTTTTATGACGAGATATCAGTACCTCTCAGTCGTCCTATAATCCCAAATACCGTAATTTGCTCAGCAAATAACCTGAGCAAAATCATAAACACCTACTTGTTGTGCTCTCTCAGGAAAAGCGTATGTAGCGCAGCCAATCCGACGAAGATGTTCGCTCTATCATCTCCAGCCACCACATTCATATTAGTATCTGCAATAGACAGCATTGTTTACCTGCTCGGTAAGTGATTTGTAAATGTTTACCAATAGGAGGAAAAACCCTGTTCTTGACCAGTTTCGTCTTCAAGAAGGCGCCTTGGCGGAAGAGGAACTGATCGCGATCACTGCTGCCATAAATCTGAAAGATTTGGATTTTACTTGGTTAACCTCAGCTTATTGACTGTCTAACCTGAGATCCATCTATAAAGGCGGTATTCTCATTGAACTGTTCACGGAAATTGCTTGTACCAGTTCCGCAAACAGGTGTAGAACGAGCCACGGGGAGACACATAAAGCGGCCGAATCTGAAGATTTCTGTTTTGATTAGCTGAAAGGGATACCAGCCTGTTTGGCATTGTGTACTTGGCTAAAATATGATGCTTTGGAGTTCGTTCATTGCAAAAAGTTTAATGACAGCATGATGCTTTTCAATTCTTTTAGTGTTTTGCTCCAAAATGAATGCCTACTCACTCGCTTTTCATTAATCCCTATAAGCTATTCCAAGCTAAGCTTGATTTACTTTAAAATAATGTTTGTGCCTTTAACAATAATTTCATATTAACTTATTTACAATACTAGTTTTCGTATATGCCATAAAACCTCCAAAAAATCCTTTAAAAGTATTTTTTCACATAAGAAATTCACACAATAGGGCTTTTTCTCCCGTCATATCTAGATTTTTTATGTGGATTTTTTAAGCTTAGCTTAGCCTTTTTTTCTAGTGTGGACGGAGAAACGATGAACGTAAATAGCGCAGCGTTAATTACGAAAGAACCTGCTAGGCGAGACACGCAATAACAAGCGAATGGTATTTTCATCAAGCTCGATCTCGTATTTTCGTGCTTGCGGAGATCAGCTGAGCGATGAGCGAATAACTTCGTCAAGAAAGGGGAGGAGTTAGCAAGTTTTTTTTTTCGGGAAAAAATATTGAGAAAAAGCTTGCTGTGTTAGATAAACATACGTTTGTAATCTGCGTTTATAGGTTGTATTGAACTAGTTCCCAAAGTTCAACATAACAAAAGAAAATTATTACTTTTGATCCATGATATTTTACAGCAGTCCTTATTTGTATATAATTAGAAAGTGCAGTTGTGTTGTGTTTCAGGGCTCTTTCTAAAAAATATGAGTAGAAGAAACGTAGATAGCCTTTTCATAGCCTAATTGTGTGCTCTTGACGTAAACATTTC